TGGTGCAACTTTAGGGTTTTTTCTTCACTTTTTTTATAAGAAAACTTACCTTGCAAGTGCTAAATCCCAGTTTGTGGGCCTCTCTATGAGTTGTGGGCCTCGAAATTCTTCTTCCAACAGTGTCACTCAACAGAGCACTTAATTGTAAATAATTGGCACGCCTGCTTTTCACGATTAGGTACTCTTCTTAGTGCTCTTCGGTCGGCATTTGTGATATTATTTTTTTCACATATCGTGGCTTAATATTAACTGAACCAGTTACGTTATATCTTTTAACAATATTTCTCACACTGTACCGCGCTAAGTTTAAGAAAGTTGCAATTTCTGAGTTTGATTTCCCAGAATTAAAAAATTTAATTATCAGTAACCGAATTTTCTCACTACTAAGCTTTCCTCTACCCATTTTGAAAACCTTAACTACCCAAAACTTTTAAACGTATTCTGACAGCTGTGATTAATAAAAACAATTGTCATGGCTTTTATTTTTCATAGCCACCTATGCGTTATAGCCTTATTTTGCATTGAAATGAAAATAGGCTGATATGCTGTAATTACAACATGTGTTTTCTACTATATATTATCAAAATATTCATTGTTAATATTTTAAACCTATAACACCATGCTACATTTTTATTATTTGTGTTTGATAAGAATAAAACTAAGATTTCAATAGTTGGGCCAACTGAAGTGGGAAGGGGCTCGTAATTGGATTATATTGGTCAAGTAGTTTTTTGAGAATTTCCAATTGTTTATCCCAAAACACCTATTTTCCGTCCATCACTACTAGTTTATTGAACAATATACAGGGTTCGTTCAAAGAGAATTTAATAGAAAAATTCACGTGTTTACCTTGCCGATATGAAGCACAAATCATTCCGAAAGATTGTTATTTTTAGGCGAAAAACAAAGGTTAGGTTTTTTCTTCTAAACAAATTCAAACATTTCGTATTTGTGAGTAATTGAGTAAATCCGCTACGATATTCGAAAAACATACCTTACTATACACATTTTAAAACGTAACCCATTCTTTTTTGCAAAATAACATTTATTTAAACAGGTGTTTTGGGATAAACAATTTGAAATTCTCAAAAACTACTTGACCAATCTTCTCCAATTTTTTTGTGGTTATTTAGAAGTACAAATCCTACGAATTTGAAGAATTTCAAATATCTGCGAGAAACCATCGTCGCAATACCAACAAGTGCCAAAACCTGCAGTTTGCATCGGTTTTCGGCCATAACTGTTTTGCTAAACTCGGATCTTTTTACGTCTGTTCTCATTTAGTACGTTTCATTTATACCAAAAAAATCTTATATGAAGAGTTTTTTAGTTGCTGCCAACACTTTCGATTGAATCCCAAAAAACACGTGTTCTCATTCTTTGTTGTCGAATAAAAAGTTTTCCGAAATGAATTGGTGTACCCATTTTATGCGTCCATGTTTTGAATACCCCCTAGAACAACTTGCAGCAATAAAACCAGACGTTATAATTACTTTGCAAACCAGGGGTATTTTCGTCTAATATAATAATAATAATAATAATAATAATAATAATAATAATAATAATAATAATAATAATAATAATAGTAATCGACTTTATTGGAAACATGCTATACAGATCGACATATGATCCAAAAGGCGGAGTTCACAAAAATAGTGTTCTTCCACTCAACCCCGAAAATTGACAAAAAAAAAGAAAAATAAAAAATAGAAAGAACAAGAAAAGAAAGGTTTTGTACAAAAAAAGTATACCTACATGCAAGTATCTGAGCGTAAAAAAGCATGGTCATGCATTTCAAATGCATACATAAATACGTACATACATATATAAACTAGCAACAACTTGAGAATACCAAGTTTAGCTAATATCAAAAAACTTAATCAAATTAGAAAGAATATTTTGACATAACGTAAGCCTTAGCATGTTTTTTGAAAAATATTAGCGTCATAGACTTAAGGTCCGAAGGTAACTGATTATACAACTTATAAATACAGTATGAAAAAGATTGTTCATACTGAGAAGTGATGTGACATGGAGGACTTATCAAATTCTTGCTTCTCACATTGACATTATGTGATTCAACCCTCAATTGAACTTTACTACACAAATACTGTGGTACTTGACTCACCATCACTTTATGATATAGTACCAAACAGTGAAGTATTCGGCGCTGAAACATTTTCATCCAATAGAACTTCGTGGATATAACACTGCGCGTTCATGTTACCTCTGATGAAGATTAAAGGTGACCTGGAACCATAAGCTATAGCACCCCAAACCATAACTCCAACAGTGTGATGAACATGTCTTTCAACAAAAAACTGTGGATTCCTCCTTTCACCACGTCGCCCTCTAACCCTGGCACGACCATCGTGCATGTCTAAACAAAATCGAGACTCGTCACTAAAGACAATACTGTTCCATTCCTGATCCCAGAGTGACCGTTGTTTGCACCACTCAAGGCGATTACGTCGGTGTTCTCGAGTTAAAGGGAGGACCCAGTGTGGCCGGTATGAAAACAAGCCAAAACTTCTCATTCGTCGGTAAACACTTCGCATGCCAATAGGTCTTCCGTGTTCTGCAAACTATTCATTTGCAATGGACCTGGTAGTGGAGAAACGGTCCCTTAAGGCCAATAATCTTAGGCGGCGATCTTCACGGTCTGTTGTTCTACGGCGGCGTCCAGTGCCCCTTGCTCTTTGCGTACGGCCTTCTCGAAGCCATGCCTGACAACACCTAACCACAGTGTCTACACTTCTTTGCACTCTAACTGCAATTGCCCGAAAAGAAAGTCCAGCTTCTCGAAGTCCCACTATACGGCCCTTATCAAACTCACTAAGTTGACGAAATCGTACAGGTCTCGGTACTCTAGGCATCGTAACCGATCGTAAAGGATGTCAAGAACCAAAATCCGCCAAAGTTGATTCTTTACTGCGGCTGAAATATTTATTTTTAGAGCGTTAGTGAATTAAAAAAAAGCAGTATAAAAACCGGAATGTCCAACTGATAAGGCTGAAAATTTTTTCACTTGTTATTTACAGTAAGATAAATACATTCACCAACTTTTATTAAAATAAAACCATTTAAACTGGGTGTTCGGATTTATATGTCACTTAGTATATCTCCTTAATTTTGTGACTGATGTGTTCTCCTCTAGGAGTTCCACAAATCAGACGCGTGCATGAATTTTGCATGAGTTGAATTCGATCATTGTCAGCTTTAGTTATACGTCACAATGATTAAACGTAGAAAGGACTAAAGAATCGCACGGAGTACGTTTCCAATTATGGCTCAATATTCTTCTTTGAGCATAAATTAGTTTTACTTTAGGAAATGATGCCCTAATTTTATTTGTGATGTGGCCATGAAAACGGAGGTCATTATCAATTAGGACGCCAAGATTTTTGACACTATCTTCTAAAGGTATTAGCTTACCATCCAACTCTAAGCTGATAGAACTAGAAATATCATTCCGTGCTTTTTTCCTACCAACAATGATAGCTTTTGACTTATCCGGATTTAAGACTAAGCAATGGTTTTTAGAGGCTATGCTCAAAGACAGTAAGTCAGAATTAATTTTGGCTGCTGCTAGCACGATCTGCTCTGATTTAAAAGACGTATATATTTGCGCGTCATCGGCGTATGCATGTAAAGAGCAGGTCTTAAGGCATGCGTGCAACTGTGACGTATAAATAATATAGAAGAGAGGCCCTAAAATAGAGCCTTGGGGTACACCACTGATGAGAGTTTTAGGTTCAGAAAAAATCTTGTTGATTTTAACAATTTGTTTACGGTTAGATACATAATTTTGAATCAATTTCACAGATTCACTAGAAAAACCAATAAAATGCAATACTGCAAGCAGTAGCTGATGGTTCAGCTTATCAAAAGCTTTCGAGTAATCTAATAATATCAAAGCAGTCAACTCATTTTTATCAGTTGCTTCTATTATGTCATCAGTGATCTTTGGCAGTGCAGTAACACAGCTGTACCCTTGCCTAAATCCTGACTGATGTTCAGGAAGTATTTTATTAGTATTCAGGTAATAACGAATTTGCCGCTCAAGAATCTTCTCAATAACTTTAGAAAGAGTTGGGCAGTATACTTATTGGTCTTAAATCCTTGAATTCATTGGGACTGTCATGTTTTGGAATTGGTGTGACATGAGAAATTTTCCAAGAATCAGGAAACACTGAAAACTCAATACACGTATTAACTAGGTGAGTTATTACGGGTAAAATACGGGGACAACAATATAATAACATATCAATCCCAATATTATCAACACCAATGGCCTTTGACTGGATTGACTTTAAGGTATCTGCAACTTCATCTATACAAGTCACTGTGAAATTGAAGTTACTCTTCAAGTTATATTTTTTACTATTTAAATATCTATTTAGTGTTTCAGAATCAGGGGTTAAGCTTGAGGTCATTTCAGATGAATAATAATCGCTAAGTCATTCAACATTATTTAAATGTTCAGGTATAATTGAACTGTGGTCCCTCAGCGTGCCCAACAATTTCAGAGCCCACCATTTCTTTCTTGCATCACAATTTCCTATAACAGTACCAAGATAAGCCCTCTTCTCATTCTCAGTAGCACGGGTAGCAAAAATTTTCAGATCTTTGTAAGATTCCCAGTTTTCTTTACATTTTCTATTTTTAAACTTAACTAAAGCCTTATCTCTTAATGAGAAAATCAATTTGAGATTTTCCTTGTAACTCTCACAGTACGGACAGGTGCATGTTTGTCAAATAAATCCAAAATATACCTATCGGAAAGCTTAAGTTTTTTATCTATACCTTTAGTATAGTACATGCTGTGAAATGTACTACTACTGTATATGATTATACTATTGGTATAGTGGGTGAGTGGTTTGGTTAAGTTTTAGATATTTTATGCAGTTAGTGTTGACAATCTATGAGTATTTTAGCTGGCAATCGTAGGAAGTATAGAGTCGATCCGGTTGACGCCATTTGTTTATTGTTTCCTCCAGATGCTAGAGATCGTGAAGAAGAAGAGGCCCTGATGCGTGAAATGGGATTCGTCGTGGCCGACTACATGTCAGGCGAGATCATTACACGTGGCCACAGGACAAAGAGAAAGAAGAAGCCTCCAGAACGCGACCAAGAACAAGAAGGTGGATGGGAAGGAGAAGGAGGGGAAGAAGAAGAAGGAGGAATTGAGGGTGAGGCAGAGGAAGAAGAGAGCGCTGACACTGCAAAGAGGAGAGAAGAAATCATGCAGGATGCTAAGCTGCTGGAGTATTTCAAGGGGAAATTGGAAAAGGCCCAGCATAAGCAGAAGGTATGTGTCAGATTTTTTTGAGGTTATTTTGAGGCAGCAGGTAGCTTTTCATATTCTTGGAGGTGATTGTGGCTCGACGTCAACAAAGCTTTAGTTACGGACTTAATTCCTGCCGTTGTATTGTACAGATGAGCAGTGAAGCTTGCTCCAGTTCTTTCGCGTTTCTTCCAGATTTTATGTTGGAGTTTGGCTCTGCTTCATCAATATATAGGCGCGCTCTGCTCGGCGCATCGTTTCGCGCCATCAGCACCGTATCGTTGCTGATGCTCGGTATGGATCATGTATGGATTATGATCTGCGCGACCGGTTTCAGTAAACGCCCCGATATCGTCCGGGGTTAGAATTCACCTCGCCTTGTTTGTGGAAAACGGCGTCCTACTGGTAGAAAGATGGCTGCTGGCGCGACAACTGTTCAATGTCGTTCATTCTTCCTTCTCCTTCATAGGTCCCAATACGCGCAGATTGAATATGTTCCCCTACGGCATTCTCATGAAAAAGAAGTTAAACCATTTGTTTTTATTGAAGTGGCTCAAATCGCGCGCCAGTTGATCTAGTTCCGGCCGGCTTCAGCTCGCCACCAGCTCACCCTAGGGTTAGCGGGTCAAAGCATACAGACGGTCTCCAAGTTGCAGCGCGTTAAGGTTGCGCGAGGAGCGCGACAGAGACTAACGATAACGATAACCGTTATACATTCGCAGCAGTTACACCAGTACCGTAAAGTGGAGCTACTGTGTAGGTTTTTTGATGACTTATTTCAAACTGTTTGAAGTATTATAATTTAAGATATGGCACCTTATAGCCCCATCTTTTTTCTATCTCAAGTAGAAAATGTAATACAATAAATAGACAATAGAACTCGAGAAAATGACAGAAAAAGTTGTCACAAATTAACCCCATAGGTTGGGGTTACTTTATGACATGCAGTTTTTGTAACTATATCACAAAGAAACACACATGCTTTTTTAAAAAATAAAAAGTATATATATATATATATTTGAGAGAAAAAACATATATTTGGGAAAAAAACAAATACAATTTCCAAAAACAAACTTTAATTGGCATTAACTAGGAATATAAGATTAGGCTTGAAACAACAAAATGTTTATTATTACAAACATTATAAAAAAGTTATTGTTACTCAAGAATGTCTTTCAATTCTGGAGCGTTTATGCCCATAACAATTTCATCGTTCCTATAAAACATCTCGTCATTCTTAAGAGGCTACTTTCCATTGTTTTTTAGTAATTTGACCAGGAAGCTTTGCTCAAATTGTACAACTACGTACTTTCCCGTTGATTTCTCCACTTTTTGGGATGGGACATTATTTTCTTCAGTGGGCTGTTCATCTCCATCATCGAAAAAATGCTCATCACTTGTACTGTCATCACTCTCCATGTATTTAACTTCGTCCTCATTTTCACTAGAACTATCTAATGATGATCTGTCAGCTCCAATATTTCGTAGACGTTTTCTCTGACGGATGCCAGGGGTTCCAGGCTCATGATCAACAGTTTTTGTCGTATTTTCAACAGTAAGTGTGTCATTGTTAAAGTCACTACTGCATATGCTTTTACCTGGTGGCACGTTCAGACGTTTACTTCTTTTTACGTGTCTCGTTTTCGTTGTTTCTGTCCTTACATTGGTAATGTGTTGAATAAAACTGTTACCAGCATGCTCAGTTATTTCGGTATCTCTTGTTGTCGGTCCAAAGGACACATCGTTCAGGATACTTCGTTCCTCTTTTGATTACTATTTTTGTCTGTCCCGGGTCATCAACTAGGTTAGTCTCATCAGAATTCCATATATTGCTTGCAGGAATTCCTTCTAACTCAACCTCCAAATTATCCAAGAAGTTATTTATGATTTCTTCATCAGTAGTAGCCCTAGCATGTGAAATATTCTGCGCAATCTTCTGAGAAAGTTGTGGATGTCGTTTTAGAAAGGATTTGACCCAATCACATCCTGGCATATTATTTTTAAAAGGTTTAATATTTTTCCCCGCCGGTCCAAATAGGACTTTACTACACATCGAAGGTCAAATGTGCTTACTGGAAAACCAAAAGCTGACACAGTAACTACATGGGCTGAAATATATTTTCTTCTTCCTCAGTAAACACTTTTTGTTGTCCAGGTTTGTTCTTATGTCTCTCTTTTATTTTCAGCCATAAAGTATTTCGATGGATATTATATTTTTCTGCAGCACCGCGTAGTGAAATCCGTTTACTCCTTATCTCGTGAAGAGCTTCTGCTAATTTTTCTTGTGTATAATTTTTGTAATTGCGACTACCAATTTTTCTTCTATACACTCGTGGCACTGTATCTGAAAAATTACACATTTTGCGTTTCAATAATACCTTCATAAACAATCAATTGTCACAAAGTAGCCCCTCTAATTGTAACCAATTTTTAAAAAATGTGTTAAACAAAGCGAAACGATATAATTCTAACACTGAGGCGTGAAAACGTTCGTATTTTAATATAAACCTACCTTGGTGGAAAAATCTTTTAATATATTTTCTGACCAACACAAAATTTGCACACAAAACGAAATCCACCTGTTTACTCGATTATCGAGTCGGCTCTGGCACGAGGAGCACAGCTGTACTAGGAGCTATTGATGAAACGGCATAGATGGCGCACCTAGTCCACTATTGAAATATAAAATTTGAATTATACTAACGCCTTTAGCCACTTGGTAAAAATAGAAAATTTAATCATAGATTTCACTGTCACAAAGTAGGCTGTAGTGTTGCAAAGTAGCCCCTCTTTACGGTACTTCAAGCAAAAGGCGCTGGGTACCGAGTGGGTATTGGAAACGGATCAGGGATGGGCTAAGCGACGAATCCGGCACCTTTCCAGAAAGCTGGAAACTTGTTTATGTCCAAACCATCCCAAAAAGGGATCTAGGACCGACGCTAAAAACTACAGGCCTATAGCTTTGCTTTCTGTTATAAATAAAAGGTGATGGAGAGGTTCATAAATCGCGAACTTTTGGAGCACTTTTAATGTCACTGCTTGATTAGCGACAAACAGTAAGGTTTCCGGCACCAGCAATCCACAGGGGACCTCCTTGCTTACGTCACGCAATTGTGGAGAAAGCTCAACCAGTCTTCTGGTGAAGCTTATGTCATTGCTCTTGATATCACGAGAGCGTTCGATCAGCTGTGGCATGTTGCCCTCTAATGCAAGCTTCCATCCTATGGCCTCCCACAGAAGCTTTGCAGATGGGTGGCTGACTTCTATCTGGCCGCAAATATCCATCGTAATCGACGGGTTCTCCTCTTCATCCCACGTCAACTCGGGTATTTCACAGGGACTGGTCTTGACTCCGACACTGTTCCTCCTTTCCTGCACGATCAATGTAATCCACAGTTTTTCTGAAAACAGTGTAATTTCGAATTTGCTCCGGCAACAACGCTACGTGTTGTATATATTTACGTGTACAGTTCATGAAATAAATATTTTTAATCATACCACAAAACTTTGCCGTCGAAATGATCCTCAGTGCAAATGCTCTTATAAGTGATGTAATCAAGAATGTAGATGTACTTACAGCCGACTTCGATGAAATGGATTATGTCATTATTCTCGCAGGATCAAATGATGCCCTGTCCAAAGGATTTATTAAAGCGAACGAGCTAAAGGACAAACTAGAAGCTATAAAGAACACAAACATCGTACTAACCACTATACCACAGTGGAGATTAAACCTCCCCATACTAAATAATATTATTGCCAACATAAACAGACAGATTAAATCCACATGCCACGGGTCAAATGCACATTTACTGAGCTTATTTGACTGTCTTCGAAGCTATCATTTCAAGAACGACTCCAACCATTTGAACAACGGGGGTAAACATAGGTTCTGCCACGAAATCTCAGAACTAATATTACACAACAGCTTTGGAACAAGACCATCATCATTATTCAACTCAGATAGCAACGAAACAATGCCACCACCACAAACTCTAAACGAACATGAAAAACGCCCTGAATGCACGTCATCGTCAGCCCCACAAGTCACACCGAAAGATACCTCTTCCACAGTCAAGCACGGGCCATCAACAAGACACCACACACAGAGAACGCTTATTTCACCGGAAGCTAATACACAGAACACTAGAAGTCCAATGACCACCTTGCCCAATGCAGACTATATATCTAACTCCACTAAATTTGTCGCCTCTCACAGTAAACAGAAGTCATCAACAGGTTATTTTTGGAAAGTAGCAAAAACATTATTTGTGGGGATCTTAACATAGATAGCCTGAAACCCAGCATAAATTCATATCTACTTCAATATCTGATATCATCCTACAACATGATAAATCACTGTAATAGTGCTACTCGAACTGAAGTGAACAAAAATAACATAATGACACGTACATCAATAGATTATATCATAACGAACTTCAGACCCAGACAATTGACATGTACAATCTTTGAACCCCACATTTCAGACCACACTGCACAACTTCTTTCGCTCTCTCATGCATCCCACTACAACCTCGAACATCAAGACAACCACTTGCACATGACAAGGCCTATAAATGACGATAATTTAAATCACCTCAAAGTTAGCTTAGCTCAGGAAAACTGGAATATTGGCGAGGACGATATTGATGCAGAATTTGAACGGTTTCTCAACAATTTTTTGTGGCATTTTGATTTGAAATGTCCCCAGAGGCATAAAACACGAAACAAAAAGCAGAAATCTAAACCGTGGGTGACGCCAAAAATCCAACAGTCCAGCCTAGATCTAAGAAAACTACATAATTTGGTGAAAAGTGTAAGTATGATGCAGTACATTGACAACAAGAAAGAACACAAGAAATTAATTTCTTCGACAAAAAGAGTATTACGGTAGTCTAATAAAATCCAGCAACAACAAAGCTAAAAAAATATGGGAAATAGTCAATGCAGAAATCGGAAGAGTAAAGAAACATCATCAAATAGTGCTGAAAAATGAAGACAAAGAATTTACTGACACCCTCGTACCCGACAAGTTTGGCAATTATTTTTCCACAATAGCAGAGAGCAAGTTAGCAGAACACTTTAAATGTGACAACCCATCAAGATGTCCATCACAAAATCGGGTAGCATCATCAATGTTCTACGAGGATGTCATCACTGAAGAGATCGTGGAAGTAATCAGCAGCCTTCCAAATAAAAGAAGCAGTAGAAATGATGGAATTTCAACGCGTGTGATAAAGTTTGTGAAACGTGAAATATCTTTCCCCCTATCAGTCCTTATTAATAAATCAGTGAAGCAAGGTAAATTCCCGAAATGCTTGAAACTAGCTATTGTTATTCCCGTATACAAAAAGGGTGACCGTACAGACCTTGAAAACTACAGACCAATATCACTTTTATGATCTCTAAAGTCATTGAAAAATGTCTGTATAAACGTATATTATGTTTTCTCAATCGCTATAATGTCTTATCCCCAGTATGGGTTTAGACTCTCACGATCTATAGAAACGGCGACCTTTGACTTTTTTTCCCATATATATAGAGAAGTAGACGAAAACAGATACGTTGCTGGACTATTTTTCAACCTTTCGAAAGCATTCGATATAATGGATATTTCGTTTATCGTGGAAAAATTGTACTGCTTAGGTATAATGGATTTTATTCTCAGCTGGATCCAGCACAAGGCTCAGTACTTGCACCACTGCTCTTCATTGTATACATAAATGACTTGAAATTGTCTGGCTTCATGATTAATTATGCGGATGACACATCTATCGTCGTCAGTGCCACGACACCGCAGGATCTTCTCGAATCTATTGAGAAAGTCAAAAGTGAAATGAGCAAGTGGTGCCAGTCTAACCGCCTCATTTTGAATGAAGATAAGACTGTTGAAATTCATTTCTTCAACGAGAAACCACGCATGGATATTGATAGCTTTTCAGATCAAACTGTCTTCTTAGGAACTCGTGTTGATAGTAAGTTAAGCTGGCAACCACAAATAAATCACATTTGCAACAAAATTAATAGTGCTTATTTTGCAATATTGAAATTAAAGCCTAACATCCATCTAAACTCACTCTTAGATACGTACTACGCGCTAGTTTATTCTCACCTCACTAACAATATAATCATATGGGGACAGGCAACAATGATTAACAGATAATTCATCCTGCAGAAAAGAGTACTTCGATTAATTTTCAATATTAATAAGAGGGACTCTTGTAAAGAAATATTTAGACGCTATAATCTGCTTACATTAACTTCCATCTATATCTACAAATGTGCCATCTTCGCATTTGAACATAGCAATAGATTTGTTCGTAACAACGCCATTAATAGTCAATACAACACTAGAATAGGGCATGATCTGAGTATACCGACACATAACTCTGCCCTATTCCAAAAATCTCCCACTCTAGCGTGCACTAAGGTATACAATAATCTGCCGAGTGAGTTGCGGAGAAGCACTAATATCCTTGCGCTGAAAAAACATCTCAGGAAATATCTGGTTGAAAAATGCTATTACTCTCTACATGAGTTTTACTAACACATGAAAGTATCTGTTTTTTAAATTCTTTTAAGCTGTTAATCATTTCGTTATCAGTGAATTGTCTATTATCGTGGAGTAAATGTATTTTAATTTCACTTTTTATTCGAGTTTTAACGAAAGTATGTATGTTTTCTTTTTAAGCTTTTAACCGTTTGTCCTCACTGCTCGATGTTTATTGTGTTTTTATATTATGTATTTCTAACAGATTCTCCTACCGCTTTTCTTTTCTTTGTATCAGCTTCAATGATTTTTACCGGCTAGACGAATATTTTTTGTGATAAAAAAGTCGCTGTATATGTATATATTTTTACCGTTACAGATTACGATTCTTGCACTGTACCTATACCTATAATGTGATTTAACCTTTTAAAACGTTTTGTAATTGTAATGTCCTTATTTATTTTATAATTATAAGTATTTTTCTGGCATATTTGCTCAAACGCATATATGACCCTCAAATTGATATTGACAAGTCTTATATCATGTAACATGATCTAATAGGACAATAAACTATCTACCTATCTATCTATCTATCTATCTATCTATCTACGTGCAGGAATTCAGAGTGACAAGCCGATCTCTGCCGGTATATGGAGGTTCATTCGTGTTTTTAAATTGGTTTTTATATTCTTGAAGTTGTTCTTAGGGGCAATATGCAACCATGGATAAGGCACAGCTGTTAAAACAGCTTTTGTGATCCATCCATATGAAGAATTTATAGACCTGATGTTCAATTTGACTCTAGCGCTTAAGCGCAAAGAGTTACTTTACTTCTCAATTTTGACCTCAGTGCATTTTTTTTCATTTGCCGAATTCCAACAGATGATGAAGTTCAGTGAAAAGCTAGGAGAAGCAGTACCTGCACGGTCAGGAATTCCAGTTACAACGCCGAAACCGTCAGTTCTTCCTCAGAGAATTCCAAACGCAGAGATGTTGCTTTCTTCGGTAAGTCTTAACAATGACTAAAAACATTCAGTCTGCTAACCAACGAATATGGACTAGGATATATAAAGAAATGATGATGATTTGGGAATTTTTCAGTTAAATGATTTGTAAAAAAAAATAATTTGATTATCAGGGAATACCGGGAGCAGAAGCTTTGCCTCCTGGAGAGCAGCTGCGTCTACCTGAACCGAAGCCGCTCCCTCCAGGCAAAGATGAGCCGATGTTCAGGATGTACGAAAAGATTACAGGCGCCATCGAAGTTGACGAGCAGATAAAGATGATCTTAGACAGAGCGGCCAAACAGCAGGCCTTGCTTGATATGAACGGAACGGACGAAGACGGTACGATTATCATTGCTTTCAAGGTCATTAAGTAAATTTTGGAGACAAGATTATATAGTGGCTCTTTAACCAAAATTAACCTCGTTATTTCAAAGCACATTTCAAAACAACAGAATTGCACCTTCAAGGTTAATTTAAGGACAGCATCCAATATTTCATGGACGAATAAATGAAACCCAAATTCTATATCGCGTGTTCGCGATAAACTTAACGTAACGTCAAGCGCGTGTTTCCAGTTATGCGTTACGGGAACGCTACAGCAGTGGTACCGAACGTCAGACTTTAGATTTCGACCTTAAAACTTCGTCAGCGTCAGCGTTGCGTACGAACGTTACGAAATTCCTGTTTATAAACAGCTTAACGTCAAGCGCATGTTTCCAGTTATGCGTTACGGGAACGCTACAGCAGTGGTACCGAACGTCAGACTTTAGATTTCGACCTTAAAACTTCGTCAGCGTCAGCGTTGAGTACGAACGTTACATAATTCCAGTTTATAAACAGCTTAACGTCAAGCGTATGATTGCAGTTATGAGTTACGGGAACGCTACAGCAGTGGTACGGAGCCTCAGACTTTATATTACGACCTTAAAACTTCGTCAGCGTTAGCGTTGCGTACGAACGTTACGTAATTCCTGTTTGTAAACAGCTTAACGTCAAGCGTATGCTTGCAGTTATGAGTTACGGAAACGCTACAGCAGTGGTACCGAACGTCAGACTTTATATTTCGACCTTAAAACTTCGTCAGCGTCAGCGTTGCGTACGAACGTTACGTAATTGCTGTTTGTAAACAGCTTAACGTCAAGCGTATGCTTGCAGTTATGAGTTACGGAAACGCTACTGCAGTGGAACGGAACGTCAGACTTTATATTTCGACCGTAAAACTTCGTCAGCGTCAGCGTTGCGTACGAACGTTACGAAATTCCTGTTTATAAACAGCTTAACGTCAAGCGCATGTTTCCAGTTATGCGTTGCGGGAACGCTACAGCAGTGGTACCGAACGTCAGACTTTAGATTTCGACCTTAAAACTTCGTCAGCGTCAGCGTTGCGTACGAACGTTACGTAATTCCAGTTTATAAACAGCTTAACGTCAAGGGTATGCTTGCAGTTATTAGTTACGGGAACGCTACAGCAGTGGTACGGAGCCTCAGACTTTATATTTCGACCTTAAAACTTCGTCAGCGTCAGCGTTGCGTACGAACGTTACGTAATTCCTGTTTGTAAACAGCTTAACGTCAAGCGCATGTTTCCAGTTATGCGTTGCGGGAACGCTACAGCAGTGGTACCGAACGTCAGACTTTAGATTTCGACCTTAAAACTTCGTCAGCGTCAGCGTTGCGTACGAACGTTACGTAATTCCAGTTTATAAACAGCTTAACGTTAAGCGTATGATTGCAGTTATGAGTTACGGGAACGCTACAGCAGTGGTACGGAGCCTCGGACTTTATATTACGACCTCAAAACTTCGTCAGCGTTAGCGTTAGCGTTGCGTACGAAAGTTACGTAATTCCTGTTTGTAAACAGCTTAACGTCAAGCCTATGCTTGCAGTTATAAGTTACCGAAACGCTACAGCAGTAGTATGGAACGTCAGACTTTATATTTCGACCTTAAAGCTTCGTCAGGATCAGCGTTGCGTACAAACGTTACGTAATTCCTGTTTGTAAACAGCTTAACGTCAAGCGTATGCTTGCAGTTATGAGTTACGGAACGCTACAGCAGTGGTACGGAACGTCAAACATTATATTTCGACCTTAAAACTTCGTCAGCGTCAGCGTTGCGTACGAACGTTACGTAATTCCTGTTTGTAAACAGCTTAAAGTCAAGCGTATGCTTGCAGTTATGAGTTACGGAAACGGTACAGCAGTGGTACGGAACGTTAGACTTTATATTTTGACCTTAAAACTTCGTCAGCGTCAGCGTTGCGTACGAACGTTACATAACTCCTGTTTGTAAACAGCTTAACGTCAAGCGTATGCTTGCAGTCATGAGTTACGGAAACGCTACAGCAGTGGTACGGAACGTCAGACTTTATATTTCGACCTTAAAACTTCGTCAGCGTCAGCGTTGCGTACGAACGTTACGTAATTCCTGTTCGTAAACAGCTTAACGTCAAGCGTATGCTTGTAGTTATAAGTTACGGAAGCGCTACAGCAGTGGTACGGAACGTCATACTTTATATTTCGACCTTAAAACTTCGTCAGCATCAGCGTTGCATACGAACGTTACGTAATTCCTGTTTATAAACAGCTTAACGTCAAGCGCATGTTTAGTTATGCGTTACAGGAACGTTACAGCAGTGGTACGGAACGTCAGACTTTATATTTCGAACGTAAAACTTCGTCAGCGTCAGCGTTGCTTACGAACGTTCGTAATTCCTCTTTATAAACAGCTTAACGTCAAGCGCATGTTTCCAGTTATGCGTTACGGGAACGCTACAGCAGTGGTACGTAACGTCATAGTTTATATTATGACCTTGATACTTCGACAAGTCTAGTGTCAGCATTGCGAACGAACGTTACGTATTTCCTATTTTAAATAGCTTAACGTCAAGTGCATGATTCAAGTTCTGCGTTATTGCGGCAGTGGTAGGGACCGTCAGAGCTTATAAATCGCTCTTTAGTATTTATTGACGAATTTGTTAGTGTCAGTGGATTTTCACTTATCCTCATATATGAATAATTACTAACGTCCAGACTACACAGTTTCACATTTCATGATAAATATTGACGAATCCAGTGACATTCGCTATAGGAATCACAGAAGCGACAGCGGGGTTCAAATCCTAAAAATGCAAATTTTAAGGTCCAACCGTATTTTCAGGGATGGGCATGCCAGCGGATCAAGTGGACGCAGAACCACCACCGGAACCGATCAAACCAATCCAGCGTGGTTCTCCGCAGGCTACAGGAATCATTGGCATGTTCATGGATTCCATGAACGAACAGCAGCCTCCTCCAAGGCCGGTGGGGCCCCCGCCACCCCATCAACAAGAGCCGAAGATGAACGATGAGGAAGGTAAAGGAATGAAGCCCAAGAGAAAGAAAGATGGTGAGCACCATATTAGCTTGTGAAGCATGAATCAGCTATACAATTGATTAATCGAAATAAGGCATATTGTCCGATAGTCGTTGACACTGCACTGCTTCCACCGCGTTCACGACCTGTCTGAAAGCCAAATTTTGTGCTCCAATGTTTGCGCTGTGACATCACTACTTACGCCTCGGATATCGTCTCAAAGCGATCTCTAGCTCTAGTTTTAAGAGTAAATGTACGAGGATATCCATGATGAGTGAAATATGACTGACACTCGCGAAGAATTCCTGGGGCTGGAGGAGTAAAAGTATACCAGCATCAAGAAACTGAGATATACCTTTTCCCACTCCTGCAACTCCTAAATGTAGTATACAAAACCAAACCGTTTGATTTGGAGGAACTAAAACAACGAATACAAAATGAATAAATATACTAAGTGACATATAAATCCGAACACCCAGTTTAAATGGTTTTATTTTAATAAAATTTTGTATAAGTACTTAATGAAGCATAATAAGTAAATGATAAAAATTTCAAAATGATTGCACTGCTTTAAAGCCCTTTGACCTTTAATAATGTGTGGATGCACCATGATGTGCTACGCATTCTCCAACGCGCCTAGGCATGCTTCTGATCAGGTGGTCAATGTCCTCCTGTGGTATCTCATTCCAGGCAACCACCAACTCCTCTCGAAGTGCTTTTAGAGTCTGAGGAGGACGTTGCAAATTGAGCAATCTCCTACCCATCATATCCCACACGTGCTCAATTGGGGATCAGTCGGGAGATCTTGATGGCCATGGTAACAATGTGACATCATTATGTTGAAAGAAGTCTATTGTGACTCTTGCAACATGTGGTCGGGCATTATCTTGTTGGAAAGTTGGATCCGCCAGGGTGTCAAGATAGGGTAAAAGATGGGGTGCTAGAACTTCGTGGATATAATGCTGCGCGTTCATGTTACCTCTGATGAAGATTAAAGGTGACCTGGAACCATAAGCTATAGCACCCCAAACCATAACTCCAACAGTGTGATGAACATGTTTTTCAACAAAAAACTGTGGATTCCTCCTTTTACCACGTCGCCTTCTAACCCTGGCACGACCATCGTGCATGCCTAAACAAAATCGAGACTCATCACTAAAGACAATACTGTTCCATTCCTGATCCCAGAGTGACCGTTGTCTGCACCACTCAAGGCGATTACGTCGGTGTTCTCGAGTTAAAGGGAGGACCCAGTGTGGCCGGTATGAAAACAAGCCAAAACCTCTCAATCGTCGGTAAACACTTCGCATGCCAATAGGTCTTCCGTGTTCTGCAAACCATTCATTTGCAATGGACCTGGTAGTGGAGAAACGATCCCTTAAGGCCAATAATCTTAGGCGGCGATCTTCACGGTCTGTTGTTCTACGGCGGCGTCCAGTGCCCCTTGCTCTTTGCGTACGGCCTTCTCGAAGACATGCCTGACAACACCTAACCACAGTGTCTGCACTTCTTTGCACTCTAACTGCAATTGCCCGAAAAGAAAGTCGAGCTTCCCGAAGTCCCACTATACGGCCCCTATCAAACTCACTAAGTTGACGAAATCGTACAGGTCCCCGTACTCTAGGCATCGTAACCGATCGTAAAGGATGTCAAGAACCAAAATCCGTCAACGTTGATTCTTTACCGCGGCTGAAATATTCATTTTTAGAGCGTTTTTGAATTAAAAAAAAAGCAGTATAAAAACCGGAATGTCCAACTGATTAGTCTGAAAATTTTTTCACTTGTTATTTACAGTAAGATAAATACATTCACCAACTTTTATTAAAATAAAACCATTTAAACTGGGGGTTCGGATTTATATGTCACTTAGTATAACATCCAAAAAACATAACATCTCATTTTTGAAAATTTTCGCGCTCCTTGGTATAGGCGATGATGACAGGACGATTACCGTCCATATTTTAGGTAGCCGTGATACCTTGGGATAAACGCTTTGTTTGAGTGCCGTAAAACAAAGGTTGTAAGAGAATTTTCGTTCAGTAACTTTTTATTTGAAATGCGATGTTTTGTTGCAGGAAAGCCTCAAAAAGCCACATACGAGCCTTCTGGATCGCCAGCTACCGATCAACAAATTAAGAACATAATGGACAGAGCTGCCCAACAGCAAAGCTTGCTAGATCAGCAGAAATTTGGTATAAGAAATACACAATTTCACATTTCACATATACTAAGTGACATATAAATCCGAACACCCAGTTTAAATGGTTTTATTTTAATAAAAGTTGGTGAATGTATTTATCTTACTGTAAATAACAAGTGAAAAAATTTTCAGCCTTACCAGTTGGACATTCCGGTTTTTATACTGCTTTTTTTTTAATTCACTAACGCTCTAAAAATGAATATTTCAGCCGCAGTAAAGAATCAACGTTGGCGGATTTTGGTTCTCGACATCCTTTACGATCGGTTATGATGCCTAGAGTACGGAGACCTGTACGATTTCGTCAACTTAGTGAGTTTGATAGGGGCCGTATAGTGGGACTTCGGGAAGCTGGACTTTCTTTTCGGGCAATTGCAGTTAGAGTGCAAAGAAGTGTAGACACTGTGGTTAGGTGTTGTCAGGCATGGCTTCGAGAAGGCCGTACGCAAAGAGCAAGGGGCACTGGACGCCGCCGTAGAACAACAGACCGTGAAGATCGCCGCCTAAGATTATTAGCCTTAAGGGACCGTTTCTCCACTACCAGGTCCATTGCAAATGAATGGTTTGCAGAACACGGAAGACATATTGGCATGCGAAGTGTTTACCGACGAATGAGAAGTTTTGGCTTGTTTTCATACCGGCCACACTGGGTCCTCCCTTTAACTCGAGAACACCGACGTAATCGCCTTGAGTGGTGCAGACAACGGTCACTCTCGCATCAGGAATGGAACAGTATTGTCTTTAGTGACGAGTCTCGATTTTGTTTAGGAATGCACGATGGTCGTGCCAGGGCTAGAAGGCGGCGTGGTGAAAGGAGGAATCCACAGTTTTTTGTTGAAAGACATGTTCATCACACTGTTGGAGTTATGGTTTGGGGTGCTGTAGCTTATGGTTCCAGGTCACCTTTAATCTTCATCAAAGGTAACATGAACGCGCAGCGTTATATCCACGAAGTTCTAGAACCCCATCTTTTACCCTATCTTGACACCCTGGCGGATCCAACTTTCCAACAAGATAATGCCCGACCACATGTTGCAAGAGTCACAATAGACTTTTTTCAACATAATGATGTCACATTGTTACCATGGCCACGAAGATCTCCCGACTTATCCCCAATTGAGCACGTGTGGGATATGATGGGTAGGAGATTGCTCAATTTGCAACGTCCTCCTCAGACTCTAGAAGCACTTCGAGAGGAGTTGGTGGTTGCCTGGAATGAGATACCACAGGAGGACATTGACCACCTGATCAGAAGCATGCCTAGGCGCGTTGGAGAATGCGTAGCACATCAGGGTGCATCCACACATTATTAAAGGTCAAAGGGCTTTAAAGCAGTGCAATCATTTTGAAATTTTTATCATTTACTTATTATGCTTCATTAAGTACTTATACAAAATTTTATTATAATAAAACCACTTAAACTGGGTGTTCGGATTTATATGTCACTTAGTATATTACTTCTTATGCTACTGGCGTTTTCTGACGACATGATCCTAAAGCCGGTACCATGACTTGAGAAATGTTTGAACGTTTATGGTGACTAATGATTACAACCGCACTCTATTCTCTAATCATTGTCTGTGAGAGCGGTTAAAGTATCGAAAGACAGTAGACAGGGGGAAAGAAGGGAGAAAAGAGAAAGGAAGGAAGGAAGGAAGGAAGGAAGGAGAGCAAAGAGGAGGAAGTGCGTCAGTTTGCCATCGTGGCATTGTTTATAAGTATTCGGGAATTTTAAGTTTATCCTACAATTAATTTATATACTGAGTGAGAAAAAAGGTAAACATCTACGTATGTTTATTGGAGTTCAAGAATTTTTTACATATTGATTTATCTTGCCATGAGCAACAAGTGATTAAATGGTCAGGTTTTTCTAAGTTTTTGTGGGGGCTGCGTGTATTATTTGGTGATACAGAAGCATTCAGTTTTCGTACATTTACTGTGTCAGTTAAATGTTAAATTTCGTGTAGCTTATTGAGAAGCCTTTCTGTGATTGCTCAAAATGGAAGACCAACATATCCTTACGCAGTATACTGCAGTGTCAACGAGCGTGGACTCGTGGACTCTGGAAGATCGAGGACAGCGAGCGAGGGGTTCTGGACGTCTCAGAGGGACGACAGAGCGACAAGACCGCCGGTGAAGACTTCTGGCTCCGAGAGACAGACTTAGTAGTACTCGAACCATCGCTAATCAGTGGTTTGAAGAGCATGGAAGGATGGTTGGTACGCGTACGATATCTCGCCGAATATGACAGTTTGGCCTTTTTTCTCATCGCCCACATTAGGTGCGACCTCTCACAACTGAACATCGGCGTCACCGTTTGCTCTGGTGTAGAGAAAAAATTCTATGGGAGCGGGAATGGAATCAGGTGGTCTTTAGTGACGTATCCCGTTTCTGTCTGGGGATGCACGATGGTCGGGCAAGAGTGAGAAGGCGACGTGGTGAAAGACGTGACCCACAATTTGACAGAAAACGTCAAATGACCATTGCTCATGGTAGATCGCCACTAATCTTCATCAGAGGCAATATGACAGCCCAACGCTATATTCAGGAAGTAGTGGAGCCTCATCTTACTCCATACCTAAACACCATCCAAAACCCGCCACAATGCCAGGCCGCATGTTGCCAGAGCATCGTTAGCCTTCATGGATCAACATCGCATCAACCGTTTACCTTGGCAACCAGGATCGCCTGACCTACATCGCATTGACATGTCTGGTACATGGTAGTTCGCATACTCTTGAATTTGCAACACCCTCCACAGAATTTAGCAGCACTTACTCACGTTGAAGTAGCCTGAAATGAGATACTCCAACAGGATATCGACCACCTTATCAGCACGATGCCCTGACGCGTCAATGAGTGTATAAGAAATCGTGGATCCTCAACACATGAACGAACCAGCTTGAAACCAGCTCTGGAAGCAGCTGGCATTCATTTCGTCATGGTAATCACCTCCTTTCTTAGAGACGAAAGTCAAGTTGCACCCTTCTAAAAAGCCACTATCGCTGTCAATACGTGTTACGATCCATCTTTGACCTTTCCCTGAGGGTGTACGAAGGCCTCTTGCCAAACCTTCGCTTGTCGGTTACTTAGTACATGTTTGTCTATCCAGGTTTTTTAACTCTGTGATCTGCATTTACCCACGTCTCGTCCAAATAATATATTTTTCTGCTCTGTCGTCTATATTCAGTTATTGCGCGTAGGTATTTTCGACGCCACCCGTCTTTTTCAGGTTTCTCTAATAATCCTGACTTCCGATTACGCGTTTCGTAACGAAAATTAAGTTTGTGCAGGGTTTTTCCTAATACCGCGACGCTCACTGGGGGTATGTCATTACTCTTGATCTTTACATGTATAGCCTTAAGGGTTGGTATCTCATTCTTAAAAAAGAATTAATGTACTGTTCGTCTTGACGCCATTTTGCTGTCGCCATTTAGTTTAATGGCTTTTTGTCCCTTCAAATGGAACTTTGGATCAGCAGTAGCTCCAGTTTTCTTCTGTTCAGGCACCACGCTCCGAACAGTCCACTCTGGGACGACTGTCATGCTTTCGCAACGCGTAAGTGCAACTCCCTGCGACATAGTCCTGTTCAAATAATTGAACATCTTGAGCACGACTTCTTTTGCGTCCTTACGAAGCTTTCTGCTTGTTCCCTGGCTTCTTATACTTCCACTCCCAGTCTCACTCTCCATGGTTAAGGAAATATAAGTATAACTCGAACAATAACAACAGAAATAACCAAACAACAATTCCTCTAACAACAAACAACATAACGCGGTAACTATACTCTCAATTAAACAAGTTCAAGGCACTACTGGTCTACGCCAATGTATCGGACCGCGTGGAGCCGATCGGGCCTTGAAGCGTGGCGACATCTTCTCTCAGGACCGGAATCAGTTGTTATTCTTCTTTTCAGTTTAATTATGGATATTCATTGCGCGTTTCTTGCTCTTAGCATGTTTGTTGATTGTGACTGGTTTTAATGTTTTATTATAGGTAGACGAGCTCATCAGTGGAAAAACTACAATACGTTATGATTTTTAAGGCCATAAAATCAACTTAAATTGCAAAAAATGTTTAAATATTTCTTACTTACTAGAAAAGCCCACGCCTTCACCCGCATGACGGTCAATAGCGTTAAAGGCAAACAGGCTGCCGCGCGTAGTATTATCGCTTACACGGTAGTTACAGCAGAAAATGAAAATATCTAACAGAAATAGAAGAAATATGAAAAACTTGACCAAAACCCATCATAGATGGGCTCGAGATTTATGCTTTAATTCACAGACACTGCAGTGAAAAATATCACATAAAATTAATCGAAGCCTTTAATAGTTAGTTAGTTTGAGCTCTTTTGCACAGGAAAGTATTGTATTGTCTAGATGTTATTCTAGGAACCAGAATATCTACTTGAGCTAACAATACAGGACAATCTACTTTTCCTTTGAAAAGCTTGTGCAAGAAAAGTACAGATAACTGATATCTACGGCTCTCCAAAGACTGATAATCAAATCTATGTTGTAGCTCAGGATAACTACAGACTCTTGGTGAATGAATGACATGCATTTCAAAAAATTTTCTTGTTTGCTTTTTCAATAGCAATGATGTATTGGCTATATACAGGGTGACTTCGAAGTTGAGTCATTTATTTTAACATTTTTGTGGTAAAATTAAAGTAACAAAGTTATAGCCCTTCAGAAGTTTGAGTACCGCCCTGTCTCAATAATAATATTATGTGCTCGTGTTTGGCAACAACGGATTTAATCGGAAACAAAAAAGCGAAAGAATTTGAAACGCTGATCACAATGTTTTTATTCAGTCAATGTGTCAGTCGGTAACGCGTGAGTGAATAGTGGTGTTTGCTGCGTGGCTCAAACGAAATAAAAAATGGCACATGTTTATGCGGATCGGTTTCCCAATCGAGTGCAACCAACCCCTCGTGCCTTTGTTAATGTAGTACAACGGGCTCGTGAATCAGGTGACTTAAGACCTCACAGGAGAGGGCATGCCGGTGCTCCAAGACCTCACGATCAAATACAGGTCCGCACTGAAATACTTGTTGGAAGGATACTTTATAAAACAAGGTAACATTTTTTTTTTATTTTTTTTTTATTTTTACACACATATTTTGGTTTATCTTCCTTCTACAATCATTATCTGAAAGTTAATGACTCAACTTCAAAGTATATATAGGACTCTATATGAGTGAGCCATATTCCAGTTTGAATCTTACTAGACTGAAATACAGAGACGATAATGCTGAGGTGTCATTGAAATTCTTGTAATTCCTAACAATAAAACCGTATGTGCGACAAGCACTCAGAGCTGTTTGGCTTACATGAAAATTAAATTTCAACTGATTTGCAAAATAGACACCTAAATCTCTAATGCAGTCGGTTCTTCCTAGTGTCGAATTCTCAATAGTATACCGATAAGATATCGGCTTGGACTTGCGACTGAATGTTACTACTTTGCATTTAGAAATGTTCAGGTGCAGATGATTTCTTACACACCAGTTCTGTAAGAAAGTGATTTGTTCCTGTAAGATGATACAGTCCTCTTCACTGGATACTGATAATAATATAATATATATATATATATATATATATTGAGACGTGGTCATTGTCGTCTAGACCAGTTAGGTGAAAAATTAAAGCTTCCGCCTTTTGTTGGGTACCTCGACAAAATTTAAGCAAAGAGGACTCTTTATACTTTTTTTAATTCTCTCTAGCTTTCAATGGACTTTGCCATCATCATCAGGAGCTGCAATTACAATGATAACAGTAGCAACAAAAGTGTAAAATGAATTTAAATTGACTCAACTTACAGTAGTATGTGAGGATGTTGCTAATTGTTGTTTACGTATAGGATGAGGGAAACGTCCAGTAACATGGTGAGAGCTGGATAGATGGTACAATGGTCAAAATTATATAAAATATACACAATTGTGTGACAAGAACAAGTTAAAAACAGATTAAATTTTTTTTTAAAAACATGAAAGCATTACATCGTGATGTCACTTGATGATTGCACAAAATGGTGGTCATGGAATAATGAGTGAGATGAACCCTTTGACAGAAGGCCGAAGGTTGTCAATGTCTGTGTAGAAAGATGGAACGAATTGTGGGCGTGTGTCAACGTTGCCAAATCACTTCAGATGATGTGATTTTCAGAATGTTATGTAAGAAATTATTAAACCGACCAGAGGCAGTTGAATTAACTATATTTCAATTAATGGGAAATTAAATTAACAATTATTATTAAATCGTGAGAAGAAAATTATTAGAATTTGAGTGGAATGAAGTTTATTGGTGGAATCGACCAAGAAACAGATTCCATTTATGGTTGTGAAGAGTCAAAATTTGGGGATATGTAAGTTCTCCAATTTTTCGCAGTTTAGCAAATATGAGTAAATGACACTCAGTTGCTTAACATCTGTCTTTTTGTTGATACAGTTGTTATTCATGAAAATGTGGGACATTTACAGGAATAAACGTTTGGATAGGTGTTTTTCTTTATCAACAACTTTGATACTTGTGTAATTCATAGAGTGCCCTGTTGTGTTAACATGAGATGCTAGAGCGCATCTTTCAGGATGAAGCCTAGAATCACTTTTGTGTATAATTGGTTGCAGTTGTTGCAATTGATGGAGTAGACTGTGTTGGTTAAGCCAAACAGCGGGTCTTTCATTTTTGAAAAAATGCATTTTATAGTGAGGACGCATTTGCAAGCAATTCGAAAGTTCAAAGGACTGCACAATCTGATCAGCTTAGGGGTCAGTTCCTTGATATAGGGCAGGACAGCAAAACCAGGTCTGGAGTCCGGGTTGGTGCTTGTACTGTTTGAATTGATGCTATTGTTGGGAATTCCATCAGTTTCGTTATTAGGGGTTATGCGACTATTACCTGCATCATCAGAGTTCGGCAAAATATTGGAAGGTGAACTAAATAAGATCTTGTTAATCAGACACTTCGGATAACCATTATTGATGAACAATTTTGATAGTTTACGTAAGTTTGAGGTGTGGAAAGTATTATCTGAGATGCTGATTACCCTTGTGTTCATCTGTTTTATCAAGTTGATTTTAATCCCTAGCTTATGGTATGACCTAAAATTGAGAAACTGACCTGAGGCCATAGGTTTCTGGTACCAGTCTACCAATAAACTATTGTTGTTGGTGCGGATGAGTCTTGTGTCTAGAAAGGGGACAGACGGGTTCTCATCTTCTTTTTCAATGGTAAATTGGATGTAGGGGTCATAGCTGTTGAATTCTCTGACAATACCATCCAGACCTATGGAGGGGAGGCATAAAATAATGTCATCTACGTATTTCTTTTTTTTAGAAAAAAAACACAAAAAAAATACATTAGAAAAAAAAATACGTTAGAAAAAAAAACAAAAACGAGACTGCTTGGGGACTCAACAATCTTGTACAGTTCAATGTTTCCAAAACACAGTACCTTACCTTAACTAACCAGAAGCGTCCTAGCTAGCACTCATCCGGTTTTGATGGATGACCGAGTTCTGCCAAGGAGCCGTTTATTTCTGCTGGTCGGAGTTCAGGTCACCGAGGACTTGATCTGGCAGGAACACAACTACGCCAAGAAGCTTTCTTCCTCTCCGCCCTCTTCCATGCCTGACAGACACTCACTTGACTTCGGCCTCCCATCCTAACCGTGTCGAACTTCGTACATTCAAAACTGGCCGATATGACCACTTATTTATTCCTAGAGTGTCGAGATTGTGGAACAATCCACAAGTGGAGGCTTTTCCCAGTTTTACTAGTCTCGCCGTAGTACCATCGCATTTAGGATTCTGCCTGCGCGGCTGCTTCGGGGTGTTACCCAAATTTCATCCAAATCAGTGAGACCGCGCACAGACGGAAATGAGTGATATGGATTTGCTTGTTTCAGACATTTCAAAACATAAAAAAACGAACTGGAATGCTATAATTTTCGCGTTCACAGTAGCTCCCTCCTTTATGCGAGAGAAAGTAGAGGGGCAGAAGAACATACCTATATTTTTTGTTAGTTGCCGTTAGTTAGTAGTAGTAGTAGAAATATTTATTTAGCACATATGGCTACATAAATAGAACAATTGTAAACAACTTAGAACTAGTAAATTTAAGCCATATGGTGTATGATGTAAATGCTGGGCAACCTATAATTGTAGATTTAACAAGTGATTTCTCAATTTTACTTTAAATTTTTTCAAAGTTTTCTGGTCTTTTATCTCCGAGTATAATTTATTATATTCAATCAACACTTGATGGAATACAGATTTGTAGCATATGTTATACTTGTTGGTCATTAAATGGAAGTCATCTTTATTTCTGGTATTATGTAAATGATGGTCGACATTTGATGATGTTAAATTAGTTAGACTTGATGGAAATATATTATTTTTTACTTTATAAATGAATATCATTACAAGATATTTGATAAAATTTTTTACATTGAGCCATTTTAATTTGCTAAGCATTTGCCTAATTGGAGTATATTTATCTTTATTTAGTATTATTCTCATGCACTTATTTTGTAAAATTTGCAGTCTTTCAAAAATGGAATTATTTGCTAAATATAGAATATTCGAATTTGGAAGAATGATGGTATTATAGATCATTTTTCTGCTATATGAACTCAGACATCCAGAAACTCTCGATAAATATCCCACTTTACTACTAATCTTATTTATAACTTTTTCATAATGAATATCAAAAATTAATCGAGAGTCAACAAAAACCCCCAGGTATTTAAAATTTTCTACGAATTAAATATCTTCACCATCAATATTCAGTTGAACATTTGTACATTGTTTTTTTCCGATTAACAAGGCTTTCGTTTTACTTGCATTTAATTTTAGTCTGTTAGATGCTAACCATTTTGAGACAAGCTTCAAGTCTTCATTTATATAAGAGATACCAGACTGAATATCTTTAGTACTTATATAAATCATAGTGTCATCGGCGAAAATCTGAATTTTGCATTTTTTTACTATGGCAGGTAAATCATTTATGTATAAAATAAAAAGAAGTGGTCCCAGGATACTGCCCTGTGGAACACCCAACGTATTTTCAATTTTTGATGAAATAGTGTCATTAACTTTTGTAACTTGCATCCTTTTAGACAAATAATTTCTAAACCAATCTAAAACACTTCCTGTTATACCACATGCCTTCAATTTACCTAACAAAATATCTCTATCAATCGTTTCAAATGCCCTCTTCAAATCCAAAAATACTGCTATGACAACTTCTTCTGAGTCTATGGCTCTTCTCCAATTCTCAGTTACCAACTGGAAAGCTGTTTCTGTGGAATATTTTTTTCGAAAGCCTGCTTGCACCTCCACTAAAATTTTGTTTTCTTCTATAAACTGCATTAATTGATCATGCACTATGGACTATAATAATTTTTCAATGTCTGGTAACACATTCACTGGTCTCATATCGCTGCATCTTTTAGAATTTTTTATTTTGGGAACTGGTGTTATTGTAGAGTATTTCAAATTTTCAGGGAAAGAACTGCTTCTCAGTGAACAATTGATCCAATTTAATACAGGCTATCCAAAATTTCGAAACAGTTTTTCAGCACCTTTTTAGTAGTCATTTCGGCACAGTTGTTATTTGATTTTAAACTGTTTACTTTTTTTCTTAGATAATTCAATGATACGCTGTGAAATTTTGAAAGTGTATGCAACATTTCCCCCTGGAAACTGATTTTCATGTAATCAGGTGCAGCATTGGCAGTACCCACAATATCAACAATACTTTCCACAAAATATTCATTTAGTTTGTTTGCAATCACCAAAGAATTTGTTTCGGTACCGTTTTCGAATTGAACTTGATTTACACAATCATGCGGCTTCGAATTGATCAGCCTTTTTAAAGTCTTCCACATCTTTACACTGTCGCACTTGTTATTATCGATTTGTTTATCGTAGGTTCCCCAGGAGCGCAAGCGTTCAGCAGACTTCTAGATACAGCTCAAGGTCAAGACATCATGGATGAGGCGATAAATTTCCCTGCATCTCCGCCTTGTCCTCTAACTTGTCCCGGTTCACCAGGTCGCTTGGGTATGTACCTAAATGAAAGCCGCTTTACAAAAAAAAAAACGTTAAAAGAAGAAGCGACATTTCCATTTGGTAAAAGTTGTAAGGGAAGTCACTTGTTATACATGTTGTCTATCTCAAGGCTCCCCACTCACGTCTATATACAATGTGTCCCAGAAGTCGGAAACTGGGGATAGGCCGACTCATAATAGTAACCATGTAAAAATATAAAAGATAGCTAAATCGTGTACTTTTCATATTTTACATATGCTTTAAGAAAATCGCAAAAATCTTCACCCTGAGATGATCTTTTATTTTTTATTTTTTATTTTATATACAGTTTGGGGTGTTAACAGGTAAACCCAACACACACCCTCAGTGAACTAAAACTAAACTTACATAAAATATCGTATACATATATTACATTATTGAATACTTCAATATTAATATTTTTTTATCCTCCGATATTGTTGTAACAACATAAACTGAGTGAGTAGTTCTAATTATAAGCAATAAACTATTAATTTAACTTTTTTAATAAAAGGAGTATACATAATTTAACATTTACTTACGTTTAATTAAAACTGAAATCAAAATTAAATTGAAATTATACCAGAAATGATATTGGAGGTGATAACTTGAGTTATGTAAAAAAATAAAACATTTCTATTTTAGTCTGCCATAGAGCTGTAATACTCATACTTTAAAGCCTTTTTCAGGGAGGTCAAGCTAATATTAAATAAATCTATATTACAGAAATTATTATGATTTTTTTGAGCCCTGAACAAAGGGGAATTAAGACCAAGATTGGTTCTACGGAACGGTATTCTAAACAGATGATAGGTTCTAAACGTTCTATCAGGAGTGTTAAAGTTCAAGTTTGCCAAAAGATCCGGACATTCAACAATTTATGGACACAGCAAATGTCAGAAATCGTTCTTCTATCTTTTAAGGAAATCATATTGAACTGTTTCATAATTTGCGTATAATGATGATCTGTAACAGGTTGGTGAGTTTTATGTGCTAACATCTTCAAAAAATTGTGTTGAATTCTTTCTATCCTGACTATATGTATATTGTAAGACGGATTCCATATTACTGATGCAAACATCAGTTTGTTGTGTATATAAGCGTAGTACAATGAAAGAAGCGTTTTTGGGTTCGTAAATTCTCTGCATGTCCTGTTTATGAACCCTAGTGTTCTATTTGCATCATTTACGATGTGCTCTACGTGGGTGATGAATGAGAGTTTCTCATCAATGTATACCCCTAGGTCTTTTACTACATGAGGCTTTTCCAGTTCTGCCGTCCCTATCTTATATCTGAAATCTATAGTGTTCGCTAGGTTTCTAGTAAGCCTCATGTAATGACATTTTGTTAAATTCAGGAAGATACTGTTTTCAGTGCAATACTTTTGCAGAGATTCCAAATCGCTTTGAAGTTTTACACCGTCATTTACATTTCTAACAATAGTAAATATCTTTAGATCATCAGCATATAACAAATATTTACTGAAATGAAAAACAGAAGTAAGGTTGTTCATGTATATGTTAAATAACAATGGTCCTAAGTGACTACCTTGTGGTACGCCTGAAGTTACTAAGAATGTCTCCGAACGATACCCATTGATAGTCACCACTTGTTTACGATTACTTATATACGATGCTAGCCACTGCCATAATGGACCATCTACACCCACATCAAATTCGTCTCTACAGATCTTTTAGGGAAAAATCCATGCTGGTGTTCCGTAGTGATATTTTTTGTAATGTTTAAGATAGGATCATAAATCAGCTTTTCAAAAATTTTTGAGAAAATACAAAGTTTAGTGATAGGTCGATAATTTTCCACAAGATGTCTATCGCCTCCTTTATGAATCGGCAATATTTCACCTTCTTTCCATCTCGTTGGAAAGACTCTTTGAGTTAATGATAGTTTGAAAATTAGGTGAAGTGGTAAACATAAGCTAGCGGAACAGTTTTTTTATAAATACAGAAGGTATGCCGTCAGGGCCTACTGATTTTTTAATTTCTAAGGACACTATTTGCTGATATATTTTTTCAATGGATATTAAGGTAACATCAATAGGACTAGCATCCTTGTTTAAGTAAAAATGTTTAGATTTAACATATACACTTGCAAAGAAATCAGCAAAGGCATTACACACCCCACTTCCGGTTTTAACTTCATAGTTTGAATGATTTATAGAACTAGGTATAGAGACATGACATTTTTTCTTACTTGAAACGTATTTCCAAAAGTATCGGCTGTCGCACAATATATTGTTTTCCATCATTGTTATGTATTCATCCAGGTTTTCCTTAATTAAGATTTTTGATTTGGCTCTAAGGTCACAGAATATCTGATATGAGTATGGATCATTAAAACGTTTGTATAGTCTATGATACTTATTTTTTCTCTTAACTGTTTGTATTGTTTCAAGTTTAAAGTATATTGGGTATTTTCCTCGAATTTTATATGTTGGTGTAAATTTGTGAATAGTTTCATTGAGTATGTTATAGAATATGGCTACAGCTTCATCTACAGATTTGGTACTAAATAATTTTTCCCATCATTTTAGTTCCTATTACCACAAATAACTTTTTCTGAGACGGAATGATGGACAGTGTGATTGTGCGTAGTGACAGCAAGACAGACAGTAACTCCACTTTTATTATTTCATGATGGTGCAGTGCCACCATGTCTGTGTACACCGTACAGGAATACGCCAACATACACCACATTTATGAGGAATGTAGACGCAATGCTAGTGCTGCACCTAGGCTTTATCGTGAGAGCTAACCAAATGCTGCTCGTCATCCCGATCACAGAGTTTTTGTGAATGTGCACCGTTTACTCTCAAAGGGACGATCCCCAGCACATGGTGAAGGAAGATTTTCCTTTCCTTACGAGGACGTCCTATTACAACCAGTCGAAGGAGACCCGAGTACTTCACTATATTAAATAGTACGGGATTGCCCAAAAGTACAGCTCACCAAATTTTGAAAAAGAACGATCTCCACCGCTACCACGTACAACTTCTACAACCCCGGGATTCTCTTCCAGTTGAGTTTTGTCAAACAATGTAAAGGCCGGTCCAGACACTACGTCCTATCAAACTATTTATCGAATCAGACAAGTCTTATCAAGTAAAACGGCGCGTGTAGACCACAAAACGTACCATCTTGCATGATCTAAATAAGGTTGTACGATAAGTCGAAAATTTGAAGTGCGAGGCATCATTTATGAAACTTGATTCGACAAGTTGGAGCGTGTGGACAGACTTCGGTTTTATTGGAAATTGTTTTAGTATATTTTCATAGTATATACGTATCACACTGTGTTACTTTGTGTATGCGTATTTAAATATATTTTGCATTTTAAACTTTACAAGCAATATGTCTGATCTTCGTCAGTCTTCCCGACAATTTTTAAGAGAATTTATTGAACTCTATCGTAGTTTTCCTTGTTTGTGGCAAGTTAAAAGTGCCGAGTATAGTGATCGGAATAAGAAGTCACAGGCATATGAAATAATGATTAAAAAATACAAGGAGATTGATGAAGCGGCAAACAAAGAGACAGTTACCAAGAAAATTAACTCTTTAAGCACCGAGCGTGCCAAAATAATGAAATCCACAAAAAGTGGTGCTGGTGAAGATGATATCTGCAACCCGACATTATGGTATTTTGATTTGCTTGACTTTCTGAATGACCAAGATCAAATAAGACAGTCGACAAACACTATCGATGATGAGGCACATCAAGAGGAAAGTGAAAAAGAGGTAAGTAATGTCTATTTATTAATAATAAAACTACATTATATAGGTATTGAAAACATTTTATTGCCCAGAATTATGGAATTCTCTTTTTATAACATATTATACAAACTATGACCTATTGAAAAACTAAATTATCTTGCCATGGGACTGAGCCCTCATTGTTAAAATGTTCACAGAACTTTCCTCTAACTATTTTTGCATCATTAAAAATTTGGCCTCTTCTTCCTCTTTGAAGGTCATGCATTAAATTAGGGTCACACCTGTCTCCTAACGCAAGAGAATAATCTGCAGGAATATTTTCTCTATCCATACTTTCTGGGGGTGTGTAATTTTCTGGAGACTTCCTGCGAAGGAAATTATGTAATGCGCAACATGTTAGAACAACCTTGTCAATGTTCTCTATCTTCAAATTTATAGCAGTGTGGAAAACTCGAAATCGGGACGATAAAATGCCAAAAGTATTTTCAATAGTCCGTCCGGCTCTGGATAACCGCTAGTTAAAAATTCTTCGTTCTCTATTGAGTGTTTCCCTACTATATGGCTTGATAAGATCGGAACGCATTGCAAAGGCCTCATCTGCAATAAACGTATATCCAAGAATTGGGCATAGATTCCGGATTAGGAAGTTTTAGATCATTATTGGCTAGTTTTTCATAAAATGTGGTATTAGCAATTACTCCACCATCAGAGATTCTACCATTTGTGCCAACATCGCAGTAGATGAACTCACAGTTCGCATTAGCAATTGCCATAAGAACTATGCTATGCGTCTTTTTGTAGTTAAAGTAATATGATCCGCTTCCCTTGGGAGGAACAATTCTGATATGCTTGCCATCTGCCATTCTGTGGCTTCGCCTCAACTCCAAAACATCACCCAAATTTATTTGCTGCCTTTATCGCTCTCCATCGAACCATAACTGGGATGACCTACTCAAATACCTCGCCGTCCAGATCGACTTTCTGAACATCAATCACCCCGCTTCAGAGGTAGTTCTTCTCGGTGATTTCAATGCCCATAATGAGCTTTGGTTGGGCTCAAATAAGACCGACGCAGCAGATCGTGCAGTCGAAGCGTTAGCTCTTACTCAAGGGCTGACCCAGCTGGTGACGAGCCCTACTTTTTTCCCCCGCGTCTCGTCACACGCCAGTAGCCTGCTGGATCTCTTTCTGACCACGCATCCTGCCCCTTACAGCACTGCTGTCCTGTCCCCCCTGGGTAACTCAGATCACGGTGTTGTGGAGGTTAGGTTTCGGTCAGAAGCCGCTGTGGCAGCAGAAACTCGCACAGGCCGCAAAACTGGGAGGGGCTCAGAGACTTCTTCTCTAGCTTTCCTTGGAGAGATGTCTGTTTCACTGACGCGGATGCGTCGACTGTCTGTTCTTCAATAACCGAAATTATCCACGTCGGAATGGAGGAATACATCCCTCACACAGTGAAAGTTCCTAAACCAGGGTCCAACGGCTGGTTCAACAAATCGTGTGACAGATCAAGGCCCACAGAACCTACTTACAAAACC